TGTGTGACTTCAGCCTGGATTTTTTTTACCCAAAACTAATGAGCTAGCCTTCAGAAATATGACTTGAACAGGATCTGTTTAATCAAAGTTGTCCATTACAAAGCCTCCTTTGCAAGTTAATTTCTACTCACAACAATGTCAGCGAGAAGTCCTCAAGACAACCTGAGTCAGTCACTCTGAAATAAAGGATCAGCTTCTGGTAGTAAATGCTGTCCCCGGGGAAAGGCCTGAGCAGAGAGAAGGCTCCGGCACAGCGGGTGGCTTGGACACCTGGGCCCGTCTGTTCCACCAACACAACCACTTCCTCCCAATCAGGCCAACACACAGTGGCAACACACAAGGCAGATGCAACCCCACAGCTCTAACAACAGCTCTCCCTTTAAAGACATGGCCCTGGGATCAGTCCCTCCTCCTCCCGCACATCAGTATTCATTGTTGGTATCTACGACGTCAGCTACAAATCCCGCACTGACTCTGAGTCTGCCACAGCAGAGTTCAGGGACAGGAGCAAATTTCCATTCCTTACAGGCAATACCCACCCAGGTCAAGTTGTATGAGGATTTTTAAACCACACAAAAGCCATCCTCACCAGCCAAGGTCAGAGTCTACCTGCTGGGCTCCTGAAATATCTCAAACTCCTTTATTTCCCTCTCAGATGGGATCCTCCTGTGGCTTGAAGCAATGTCAGTAGGTTGCCTCTTTCTCGGAGACATCCAGCCCTCAGCTGGATGGAGTTTTGCAAACTAAAATTCAGTTAGGAGGCAGGCTCTGGGGTTTCCTTTGATGACCCATCCTGATATCTGCTTCTTGGAAGAGCTCATATGGCCTAAGAAATGCTCACACATCACTGAAGCCTACTTCCTCTGGTTGGGTCCCTATGAGAGAGAGGAAAGTCGGGCTAATGGACTACACGGAGGTTTAAAAACACCCAAGCCCAGCCAATCTGAGAGTTCTCCGAACTCCCATCAACTTGTCCTCCTTGCCGCTCTAACTTTAAAACTCCTTTGCTCTCTGCATTTTCAACTACGAAGCAGTTAACATTTTAAATCCTTTCCCATGGTCTAGAAGTGAGACATAATGAAAGAAAACTCAATGCCCTAGGAAGGGTTAAATTCTCCAAAAATGCTTCCGAGGAAGTCCTCCGTTGGCTCCAAGGTTTGGCAGCATGTCACGTCCCTGTGCCCTTCTGGTGGCTGCACCGAGACAGTCTTACAGTTAAAAAATAAGGCTCCTTGCAGGGACAGCGTGGGTAGCCTCTGTTTTGGTTTCCCACTCCCAAGTCTAAGTGGGGGTGGGGGGGGGCTACCACATCCTTATTAGTACAAGCTACAACCTTTTAAACATAATGTTTGAATGCTCACGTCATGAGCAAACAGTTCTATGTAAGACAAACACAAGAAGCCTGGGGTCAGAAAGACATGCATTCTTTGGCAAAGTTAACTTGTTCCTTTCTTCATGTTTAAAAGCCCCTTTGGAAATTAAGGAGAATGTTCAAACCTGCCAATAAAAAAAGTGCAACCATTTTAAAAGACAGCTGCCCGCTCAGCATCTTCTAAGTCAGGATATATTTAAACTTAAAAACATAATCCAACAAATGAGTTGCACTGGGGGGGGGGGGGTTAAGTGCCAGTTAAAAAGCTTTCTTTTCCCAGGATGAGAAAATACCAGGAGAACTGAGGTTTTACCATCAAGCAAGAGAAGTAAAAGGCTGCTTGGTTTTAGAACTACACATCTCTCTTATCAAAGTATATAATTGTACTCTCACGTTAAAAAGATTAGTTGCCTTCAACGGATTCTCAGGAAAAAAAATCCTATTATTTCCTCTCCACGAAGGAGTAACATCTTCCCATAATTACAGGAAAGCTGTGCATTAAGGTGCCTCCTCAGGAAGTACCATTTCCTAGTAAGATGCAACCCTAATCCACTCTCACGGAGTCAAAAATAAAGACTAAATTCTCACCTCCTACGGCCTTCTTTCCTCTGTAGCTCTTTCCATTAAACCTCCCTCAATAAGAGGCACCAGACAACAAACCATTAATTTAGAAATTCTTCTCAAGGACACTCTCATCTCAAGACCCCCTCCTGGCTAAGACGGTCAGATTTCAGCTACTTTACCTCGAAAGAGGCAAAGGTCAGGGAAACGGTATCTGCCACAACTGGAAATGCACACCCAGTACTGTCAGCACAAGCCCTCAGCCCTTGAAGACTTGTGTGTCACCTCTTACCAGCGATCGCACCCCAGACAGCACCCGTCCGGGCAACACACATGGAGCCGTGTCTCTCCCTCACACGTCTCTCCCTTAAATGTCCTCACAGAAACTATCAATTACGGACTCCAAACCAAAATCACCTTGACCGAACCCTTCATCTTCCAGATGGGCAGCAAGGGACAGTGCTTTGCCCAGGGTTTCAAAACAGTACACGTGAGTCAAGGAAGACTACAAATGGAAAGTGGTAGAGCTTTATTCGAGTTATCAACTTCTGCTTCCCTTCCTACTAGAAAAATAACACTTGATTTGGGGAATATATTTTGGCATCAACACTGAAGATAAGAAAAACACCACTTGTTTTGAAAACTCTTACATAGACCAAAAAGGTACGACTCATTCTTTCCTTCTCCATGATTCGTGAGTCAAAAAAAACCTGCTTTTCAAATACTGTGCCTAAAATAAGGATAGCTTTGATTTCAAATACCATTTGTACCAGAAGGTTGGCCATCAAAAACCAAAAAGCTACTTGAATTTGAGACATACAAGTCCTATCCTCACCAGAGCACAAAGTAGAAAGAAGAATTTTGAGGAGGGAGAATGGAAAAGTCAGACCAGGTCAGGGAGTAAGAGTGTCAAGGATGAGGAACCACACTTTAGTGCAGACTTGGAATTAAATCGCTTTCTTGCCTGAAACGGTAGAAGCCTTCCTCCTATCCTGCTGGGAGGGAGGGCCTGGGGGAGAGATGGTGGTTATCCTGCAACCTCTCTCCATGGTAATAATTACCTTTCTCACAGCTCTCATACACAGTGGCATGCGTTGGGAGTCGCACAAACACCACAAGAACATCACCTTCCATAGAACCAAGCCCGTCTTCCCTCCCTCCCTCCACACTTTCCTGAAATTTTTTTTTTAATTTAAAAAAAAAAGATATTGTCATACAAACATGGTTGCTTTCAAACTTTCCAGTAATGTCTCTGCTCTCTGAACTTTAGGTAGTTTACCCTGTTTCTTTCTATGCCCTCGTAGGCTACTTCTATAGCCAAAGTCACTCCCCATGACCAAACTGCAGACATAGTTCCTAGAAATCCTTGGAGACACTTACGACCTATATGACCTGGAGCCCTCTTTCTCTTCATGCTCAACCCTTATCTCAAACAAGGGAGGCAGAAAACGCAGGGAAAACAGAGCAACACAAAGAAACCGGGGTCAAAACCCTGGCTCTGTTCCTCATTGCTAAGTGGTCCAAGACAAGACTTTTAACTCTTTGACCTCTAGTATCCCCATCTGGAAAGTCAACATCATATTACCCACTACCCAGGGTGACTGTGAGAATTACAGATTATATATACACTCCCTTGTTAATGACTATAACATGGTATACACTAGATTAATGATAATAATTCCTATTAGAACTCCAACCTGGCATTTCATTTCAGGACCTATATGTACCTTCAGAAAACCTGCCCCTGTCCGATGTGGGGACACTTCCCTGAGATCCTTCTATGATCTGGACACTGATATCCATCACTCTAGATGTTTTCTTGGGAACATTTCCCTCGTTACCCAACAGGTTGAACACGGACTCCACATCTCATTAGAGGCAAGGTCATATTGATGTTTTGGGTCCTTCCAATTCTTTCTCTAAAATCATTACCAAAAATACACTCTTGATGATTTGTAAGAATGATTTCCAAACTGGCCTAGCCATTTCAAATAGAAAATCTAAGACCACAGAGTTCTGCGCTCACCCCAAGAGGTTCTGGTTTATTAGGTCCTAAGGAGGGGTCGGAATTGTGTTTAAGAATGCTCAGGGCAGGATTACTAATGATCTGTGAATGTTTGGATCCACTGTTTTGTATGATCCCAGATTTCTCCCTCTGCAGACAAACATCTGCAAACTGTAAATTACCTGTTTGGCTTCTAATTAGCAGCACCTGCTCTGTGAACCACCCCCCCTCTCTCCCCCTCCCTCTGCTTCCTTCAAGTGATAGTCATTCCCACCCGGTGGTCCCGCCAGAAACAAACAAAACACACCCATGACACAGGTAAGTCGGCAGGCACTAAAGCCTCCGGATTTGTGCAGAAAAAATTGCTATAAACAGCTTCGTTTCTCATTATTAATCTATCTCATGTGGGGATTTCCACAGGCAGAAACGCTCCCAAATGCCAAGAGCTGTATTTTCTTGTGGATCACTGAAACCTAATTATTAACAGGCCAGTGAGCCCTACTACCAGACTTTCGTACAATCAGCAGATCGCAAAGATAGTCTTGAACGCCAGACTACATAGAACTGAAGAATGGAGAGGCGAGTTCGTTTCTCGCGCACGCCACAGTATCTGAGCTGCTCTGGAAACAGAAATCTCATGCAAGGCACTGCCTGCTTGCACACAGGCATCCTTAGCACCTCAGAACCCTGAGATCCACCGCGGACACGATCACACCTGCCGGGTCCGTCTGTCCCCATGAGGAAGATCTCCGCCCTACGAGCCAGTCTACCCTGACGAGCTCCAGGAGTCTGGTCCGTCTGCCCCCCACTGCGCAGCGCCAGCATCGAGCTCCGTGGCGCACAGCACGTCTGACAAAAAGGGACCGGCGCTCGAGCCTCAAATCGCAATGACACACCGAGCGGAGACGGCAGGGTCTATGAGAAGCAAGGGCACGGCTCCGCGGGGCCGCGCTCCGGCAGCCCCCGAGGAGGTCTTCTCCAGCCGGCAGGGGGACCCGCGGAGAGGCAGGCGCCTGCGGAAGGGACCGCGGCCCCGGAGAAGCCCGAACCCAGCCTCCTCACCTGCCGGGGTCCCTTCGGCATCCTCTTCCTCTTCCCCAGGTGCTGGCAGAGGTTACGGTCATTCTCTCGATCGGAGCCGCAGTGGTGCGCGCGGCTGAGCCGGCTCTTCTTGGAGTGAAAGGACAGGCCGTTGGTGAGTGCTTCCCGTTTCTTCTTGCCCAGAGGGGTCTGGCGTTTCTCCACACGTTCCTGAGGCTTAAGTGCTACATCTTTCTATAGAAAGGAGGAGAAGGAGAGGGAAGCGAGGGTTACACAGGTGTCCAGGGTCGCACCCCAAATACAGGCTAAACGGGGTTACAAGGAGGGAGAGGGGAAAGCAGGAAGGGCAGGACAGGAGAACGCCCGAATCTAAGAAACACGGCTCTCAAGTCTTCTGAATCCCTAATGCGGCCACAAATACATCCTCTCTATTCTTGTTGGGCAGAAAAGTCAACAAAGCACAAAGCATCTGTCCATTAAAAAAGTGATTTCACTGCTTAGTGGCATTCAATCGGGTTCTCCGCTAGGTCCAGCGGCACACAATGACATTCCCCAAGGAGGCTCGAGACACTCACTTTCCAAGTTGGTGCATCAATTATGTTTCAGAAAAGGAGTCCTAAGTGCATGTATGATTTTAAATAAAAAAAAAAAAAAAAGGCAAAGCCTGACTATACCAGGGCCAGGTGGATACGAGCCAGCAAGAAAGAAACTATCAATTCATATGATTAAAATGTTTCCTTAATGCATTATATATTTTTACCACAAGTTCCTCTGAGCATCCTTGATTCCCAGGTCTTTGCAAAATGCAACAACATTATCATCACCAGGATGTACAGCAACTTTTCATTTATCGCTTTGTGAGTGGTTGGGGGGTGGGAAGGGTAGGAGAAACATCACGGACGTCCCGCACGCGGGGTAGGAAGCAGCGGCTGCGGAGACCACAGGCCGGCATTTCAGGCCACGAGATCCAGTGCATTCTGTGCTGGCAGGCAGCTCAGCACCTATGGAAATACCAAAAGCCCGGGTCCAAAGCCTGACTCTGACATTATCCACTAAGAGACCTGAAGTACCCACTGTTGGGATATGTGCAAATGTCCTTCGAACCCTGAGAAATGTACTCACGAAGCACTGAATTTAGAAGCTGTGGCATGCAGTCATTTGTGCATGAGTAGGCACAACCCGTTTACCCTGAAAATGCTCGTTCACGGAGCCTAACCCCCATATATAAAAATTCTGTTTCTGTGGTCCTAAATGAATGCACATTAAAACAAATAATAAAAACTGAGACAAAATTTTCCTTTTACCTATTTTCTCCTTAAAATACCTCTCTCTTTCTTTACTCCCCCACCCCCACTATCCTGTAGTCCCAAGGTGGTTCTCTATCCCGCTGCTTCCCAATATCCAGTACTGCCCACTTGACATGCACGCTGCTCCTCGAGGTCTTTCCCCAAATCAGCCGTTGCCATCGGTCTGGGGGGCTTGGATGTTTACATCTGCTTAGGCCTCAAAGCCCGACCTTCCACACCTCTCCCTGTTCTAGTTGAAGGACTCTCAGCAGGGCTGTCCACTCAGGAAGACCTTTCTTATAATGTGAAGCACTATTTTCAAGCCTTCCCTTAATACAAGTATTTTCTGTGTGCCCAGTATATACCAAGAACAAAATCAGCACTGTCCTACAGGGGCTGGGAAAACAATTGTGTGTGTCGGGGGGTGGGTTTCCTTACCTCATGGGACAAATATTAGGGACAAATATTAGTCAAATCACGTAAATATACCAGTGCAAACTGAACAAAGGAAAGACAAAGGGTGCTAAAATGAGGGGAAATGGTCTAGTCCAGAGGAGTAGGATGGTGCTGAGCAGATGAGTCATTTGACCTAGTTCTGAAAGTCTGAGCAGAGAGAACAGCTTGTGTCAAGGCCCTGAGGCAGCTGGCAGCATGACCTCTTAAAAAGAATCAGGGCACAGACTGAGTTATTCATCTCAGTAACCCCAATGCTTCACAGAACCAGGCAAAGATAAATAAATCAGGCTAGATAAATAAATAAACGAGGCAACTACTTAAAGTACCCAAACCTATAAGCAACAATAGCGACTGGATAGTATCAAGTAGGGGTACGAATGGTATACAGAGTGAAGCAAACTAGAAAACTGGAAACCAAGGAATCCCGCAGGCACTGCAGAAACCAGGATCACGACAAACAGCAAGAAGCCCCATAAGGGCCGAAAGAAGCCATCAGAGCAAGAAGGTATCAAAAATAACCATCTCATCAGGCAAATGACTGGCTCCAGGTCCAACGTGTAGCTGCCATCAGTGCTGATGGTTTGCCCTCCGCCGTTAGAGAGGCAGCTCTCCCGAGGCGAGGGAGATGCGTGGTGGCGAGTGTTCAGGGGATGAGCTGAGATCGAAGGCAGTGCCCATGGCCATCGACTCCAGTCTCAGAACTTGGACAGACGATCTAGCCCATGAAACGTTCAGTAAATGTCCGCTATATTTAACCCTCCGTCCGGCGCCCACCACCACGGTCAGCTGTTAGACATCTGCTCGGTTCTGACCATTCTGTGTCTGACGTCGCGCGCAACCAAAAAGGGCCAGCGCTCATGCAAGATGCTCAGGAATGACGGACGGCAAACCTAGAAGCAGCCAGGTGAGCCCCATCGTGGACCGCTTCAACCTACTGCAATCAACTGTACTTCCTCTTCTGAGAGTATTATCCAAACTCCCCACAGGGTTAAAAACAACAACAAAGAAGAACTCCTCTTTCTCCTACAACCCACCCACGGCCCAGCATATACATGGGTGTGGGGTATCAGATTAATAAACAAACGAAACTTAGTAATGTATCAACCAAGCTTTTTAAAAAATGACGCCATTCTCTTTGGAGCCCAACTCTCCTCTCACACTGAAGGTGCTCCATATATTGAAACTTATGTACGATTCCATACAAATGTGAATTAATATTTATGAGAGTATGGTATAATTTCTTCCAGATCCATTTTATTTTCATGTAGCATATTAATCAAGGCATCTCACCGCACCGCGGCATAGCTACACAGAGCGAATGGACCCCATGCCGTGACATTAGCTCGTAAGAGACCTGCCGAAGTCTTAGCAGCAACCGTACAATCATCTTAGGTCCAATTAATATTGAGATTTTCAACTCTGGAGGGTGTTGGGTGGGGAGGAGAGAGGAAGAGAGAAAGGATCAAAGTGTGTGTAGAGGTGGTGGCTTAAGAGGTAAGAAAAAAAATCAAGAGTCTTTAAAAGGTTTTTATTATAGAAGAGGTTTATATTCTCAAAGCCTAGAAATTATCTTTATTCTTTCAAAGATACAGTTTTATTTAGAAATTGCTGCACAGACACTTTGGTGTAATTCCTGAACAAGCCAGGCTACTGTTTATCCATTCCCTCTGTCAACACTCCCTGGCTGCCTACGATGTATAAAGTAATCATTTAACTTCTCACTGACTGTGTTGGAGGGAAAATGACAAGAACTGTCCATTCTAAGCAAAAAGAATCAAAGACAAAAAGACTGATGATAAATCACTAACCTTATAACACTCGAGAGAGCTGTGCATGTGATGACACACACGTGTGTGTGCCTGCATCTATACACCAACCAACAATTACCCCTGATTTAAGAATTTCCTCAAACACACGTGGGGGGGCAGGCGGTCTACAAACCACTGTTACAAAATGGGAAGGAAATCATGTGATTTATAAATGTTTACAATCAACGAAGGACGATTTTCATAAGCCGGTTGACTCATCTGTCTACCTGATAAAGGCTAGTGATTCCCATGGAAAATTTATGTCCGTGAGAATTACCTGCAGGGCTTTTTTGAAAATAAGGTGACCGTGCCCCAGACTTGGCAAAGGAAGCATTTAGTAAACAAGCACTGGAAAGGAAAGCGGGGAGGGCAGAAGAAAAAGGAAGAGATCTGGAAAAAGGGAAAAAAAAAAAAAAAATATATATATATATATATATATATATATATATATGTCTAAGGCATTCATTTGACAATCAGGGAAGCTAGCAAGAAAGCAAGAAAGCCAGCACGCCAACAACAGAAGGCTGGCTGTGAAGTAAAAAGATTTAGACATATTTGCTGGCAATAGAGGGGGTAAGTGCACAAGCCATGCATACCAGATGGGACCAGGTTTCATGAATAGTTGAAATTATGTGATTTTTAGGTCACTGGTGATGGAGGACAGGGTCACAGCAGCACACATGCCGAGAGGCTCCAAGACGGACTATTTCCTTTAACACCCAGCCTTCTTCAAAATAGGTGCTCTCGCTCTTGACTTCCCCTTCTCTCAAATTATAATCTCTTACCAAAGGCTTCCTCCGCCACTCCCGAATTTCAAGATGAGATGGTTCGGCGCTGTGCAGACGAGGGGAGAGCGAGAAACTGCAGACGTGTCTCCGCAGCGGGGCTGCGTCTGCTGATTACAGATGAAGCCGGAGACAACAGAAAAGCAAGGCACAATTTGCCTGCCTTGCACGAAATAGGTTTCAGAGAGTCTCCCTCTGATTTTCGGAACCAAACTAATCTGAGAGCGGCCCGTCACTTACAAAGCATCTGCGGCGTGGGTGCCTGCGTGTGCCCCTGGGGACGCCCATGTGGGAGAGAGGGGTACGGTTTAACCAGAACCCTTCTGAACTCATCTGATCTTAGGGACGGGCGATGAAGTAACAGAGAAGCCAGGGGAAGTAAAGAAAAGGCGCTTCTGACTGTCTCCATCCAAAGGCCTTCACGGCTGCTGTGTTCTCATTTTAGTTTGCCGCGTGCTTTGTTGGTTTCTTTTACTGCATTTGTACTTATTTTGGAATGGTCTGACAGACCATGATTCCGTCCTTTCTTAAATGCCAAAGAGGTGAAAGCATTTACGGTGATAGTAAGAAGTAAAACATGAAGAAAGAAACAAAACACACAGCTCTTTTGAAACTGAACTGTAGGCTACATTAACACCAGCCCCCATTCTGGACTTCTGAACAGACCTGCAGAACCTAGACGTTTTAGTAAGGACAGGAGACTGTGTGTGGCAATTTACAAACAAAATAACAATGTGGCATTCAAAAAAATAATTCCTCGTGTTCACATCTTTTAAAAACAAAACTGAAAATACCTCGCTGTGCCAGCCACTTTGCCACCTGTTAGAAATACCTAAGAAAGGTTCCCTGACCCCAAGCTGCTTAGTGGGGGTGCAGAAGACAAATCATTGAGCCGTTAC